GGGAATAGGTTGACATTTGCATGTGGATATTGTAGTCATTTGCTCTCGCTAAAGTTGCTAAACATACAGAACCCACTCTGCACTTGAGAGACTGGCAAATATCAGCAGCTGCAATCTCACACTTGATTTCTGAGCGTATGACCAAGAGGGCTGCACTCATATATTCTTACTTTTTCACACAGAAGGGACACTGAGCTGGCACCAGTTCAGCTACTTGGCATGTGAATACATGCACTGTGTGTGTTTGTGTTGGGTGCATGTTGGACTTACTGTGATTGATTGAATTTACATAAAATATATACAAGAGAACAGTTTGCTGCACTAGTGATGGATGGCTACGATAGTTTCTGAAAGATTAATTTACACCATTGAGCTTATTAATGTTTTGCTGAAGTTGCATTTCTCTTAAGTTACTTGAAAATGGGGAGAAAAGACAATGTCTAAATGTAAGTTAAAGGCTTTCAACTAACCCAAATTCCCTAAGGAAACTTGAAACATAGGCCCCAAGTCAAATACATAGAAATCATATGAACAGAGGACATTTATTTTTGGCATCCTGACAATAGTGTGTTATTACAGAAATGCATTTCAAATAAAATACAAAGGCACAAACATGGCTGTATTGTTCCTGTGAGGTATGTCACAATATTTGTGCTTCAATGAAACAAGAAAAAGGAGCACTTGTCGCTGCTGTGTTCAGAACATGTTCTGATGATCTAACCATAATTCAAATTTAGTTCAAAGAAGCTTGAGCTTTGTGAAGAACTGTCACAGGGACACTCTCTTCATCCACCTAGAATACATGGTGGCCCTGCTGCAAAGGTCCAGTTTGAATTAAAGCTTCATGATGAAGTTTATTGGTCATATATAAGCTGTCTTCTCATTTGAGTTTTAGATCTTCTTAGTTCAGTTTTTCCTCAAAGTGTTATGGCACACTGCTCCCTGCACTTTACACTGCAGCAGTAAATTGTTCAGCATTTCAGTTTAATGTGGTAGATCCTAGCATCCTCCATAATGTTAATATTTGAGGTATAAAGGGCTATTGTACATCAAAGTTACAACCCAGCTTTTATATAGTTGTATTCAAAGAGCAGACTCAGCTCTGGAGGTTTTGATGTAAAAATGCAACATTTGATGAACAATTCAATTCAGATTTAGCTGAAACTGATAAATATTTACAAGTTAGAATGAATTTCTGTTTCATGATGTAAAAGATTATTCGCTCTATTTGTCATAGGTCTGCACATGAATCCTAAGCAGCATGCTTAGAAATGTGGTGGTAGTTAAATAGATGCCCTGAAGTACGAAGAAGAAGAAGAAGCCAGAAAGATTTGGATAGTGAACGTAAGTCTGCACATTGCACAAAGTTAGGGAAGCAGTTGTGTGTGGAAACTTGGTAGCATGGGTAAAAGCAGTAAGCAGAAAAAGAATCTGCACAGGTGATGAGGTGTTGGAAGCTAATACGGGCCCATTAAAGTGTCCAATGTGAATTATATAAGATGAGCTGCCATCAACGGACGCTACGAAGACCATTACATGCACATGCACTGTCATTGCAAGATGCTTGAGGCAAATTAAATTCAAACTGATAAGTCATTTAGTAAACAATTCCAGTAATATGGTAATGCTGCCTCAGGCGGGGTTGCCATTATAACAATCAGAGACTGCTGAACCTTTGTTTCAAGAGTTTTATTTGATAATAGCGGGGTACTGTGTATTGAGATTTTACAGGCATGTGATTGTTTTTCACCCGAGTATGTTTTTACATAATAATCAAGCTGGTGTGTTACAATATGGTAAATGGTAGATGTTAATGGAATTGAGCTTGTGTAGCTCTATTCTTGTCTTCTGAATACTTAAAGCACTCTTTACACCACATATTATATTCACCCATTCACACACTGATGGCAGAGGTTGCTTTATTGTGTCTGCCAGTATTAACAACTGACACTGATGCAGTTTCAGTTTTCTCAAGGACACTTTGATATTCGACTGCAGGACCTTCCAGTCGAGCGATGACCCACTCTACCACTGATCCACAGCCGCCCCACGACTGAGCCACAGTCGGCCAATCATATGGTCATCATTTTTTATCTTCATAAGCAATTCAGTCTTTCTCAGGATCTGTTTTGGGGTTTCCAGATCTGATCACTGAAGCACTTTCACTTAACACTTTTCCCCACACCAGAGTCAAGAGTCCTCCGAGGAAATAACTTTAGGCCCCTGAATTGTCTCTGCAATTTCCTTCTTTAAAAAATATAATCTCTCCATCAACTCCCACCTCGCAATCTGCTCACTCCTTCTCTCCGTCCTTTTCCTTCTTTATGTTTGCAGCTGAATGTCTCTCTGCATGTGTGTGTGGGCGTGTTACGGACAAAGCGTGCCCATGTGCAAGTGGAAGGCGTCATTGAGAAACCCATATAGAGACGCTCCCGAGATGGAAGCTGCAGGAAATAATTGTTTGTGCACCTGTATGTGTGATTGTATAATCGCAGCGTGGATATGACTACATCTGTTGCATTCCAAGTGTTTGTGTCTGTGAGGGTCAGTGCAGCAGTAAGTGTGTGTGTTACAGAGTTCAAGGTGAAAAAAAAAATCTTTAGAGACACTTGAGTGTGACCTATAATGTCCAATAATTCCATGAGTAAATGCTGCTGTGTGAGAGGTGCACCTTTGGTTAAAGTTGCACAAGGAGATACCCAGCTACACATATGTGTCTGTGCTGGTTTGTTGTTTTTTGACCCTATATATGATTATATTTTCTTAGGGAAAGGTGAGTGGGATGATATAGGTCCTGCATCATCCTGTCAGACTTTGACCTTTGGCTTTATTAGGGAGCAGCTGAAGAGAGATTTGAAATGTTGGGAAGATAGAGGGGATGACACGCTCAAACTAGACAAATGGCGGGAATCCGGGACTCGAACCAGCGACTAGTGTGTTGAGGACTTTGCCTCTGTACATGTGGCGCTTCTTCTATCGTCAGAGATCTATATTGTTTTGCAAAATCTTCACTCGGAAATGATTCTTCTGTAACAGCAGCTTTAGGTATTCTCAAGGGCTAGAAAAGTGCTTCACAATTCCAAGTCCATTTACCACTTATCAAGTCCATTGAACTTAGTTCTAAGGGTGCAAAGGTATTTGACTCAGCCAAATGATTTAATATATAATATACCAACATACTCTATGACACAGTCCAAAAGGGAATGACTCTTGCGAACCTTATATTTCTGGACACTCCACACTATCATGCTTATTATTGCGACTGTGTGCCAGTGGCTGCCTCTTATGCATGCCAGTGTATTTTACAACACCAGTGCAAGGTCAATGTGCCAACGACCTCATTACTCTGTGTGTGTGTGTGTGTGTGTGTGTGTGTGTGTGTGTGTGTGTGTGTGTGTGTGTGTGTGTGTGTGTGTGTGTGTGTGTGTGTGTCCTGTCAAACCAGGCAATGATGTAACAAATGGACTTCACTTGCATACCAGGAGGGAGGCTGCAGATTGGAAACACACACATGCATACACATACATTACCAGGCTCTGATGATGTTATTTTCAACCCTGTGACACCAAGCAATACGTCTAATAAGCCATCAGCACCAAGAAAGTAACACAGCTTTCACCCACAGTGTACTGCACACGTGCACAGGGGCACAAACAATACTCTTCCTTCTGAGTCTGACTCTCCCTCATTCATGCACACATACAGACGCACGCACACCCCACACACTTACATGCTGGAGCATGACAGGGGGCTATTGACTTCCTGTACCTGGCCTGACAGACCATTCACAGTTTCTCCCTGCGTGAAACCTAATGTTCTGAGAGAACTGAGTGTGTTTGTGTTTGTGAGCCTGAGTGAGTGAAACGCCGGAATGAAAGAGAGGGAGGAGAGGAACTTCATGACTGAGTGTGTGTCTCAAACATCTGATTGTGTGTTGACTAAACTTACAGAGGGAGACACACTTTTAAGTAAAATGCAGTGGTTGAATAAATACACACGTACTGTATCTAACTTATGACATGCAGAGGTAAAAACAGAATAATCTTAATTTAGGGAACTGGAAATGTTTCTAGGAAGATTATTCAGGATATGTTTTGAATGTAAACTGAATGCTGCTTCTCCATGTTCAGTTTTGACTTGAAGCACATTGAGCTGACCTGTCCTAGACCATCTGAGAGATCGGGGCAATTCAGAATGGAGAAGCAGGTGAAATGACAGCAGTATATGAATTTACTTGAAAATGGTCATGACTTGACCCTTAAATGTCTTGGTCTTGTCTCGGTCTCAGAGCACTCTGGTCTCAGGTACGTTTTGAGGCCGGACTTAATAGAGTCAACTGATGGAAGGGGAGAGGCTGTTCCACAGTTTAGGGGCTTTGACTGCAAAGGCATGATCACCTTTGAGATTGAGCTGTGAGCGAGGGACTGCCAGGAGGCCCATTTCAGATTGGAACCTTGACTGTCCAAATTTATTTATTTCACATACTGTATTTATTTGCCTTATTATTTTTCAAATGTTCGCATCAATTACTTTTACTGTATATCTGGTTATGTCTGGGTTTCTTGTTGGGGTGGATATTTTGGGGTGGACCCAATATTTTTGAATTCTTGGTTGATTGACCTATAACTCTAAACCCGCAAACTGCTTCCCTCAAACTCCAGCTGTGCCCATGTGTCCTCTCCTGTGAGCAATTCACTTTGAGACAATGCAATGATGAAAACCAAGCAGAATATAAAAGACTGTTCAGCTGAGAGTACTTGAATGTATGAAAGAGGTGTTATCTAGCATTTCATCAAGAACCTTGTGATTTAAAAGTGTTGTGAACTGCTCCATAGATGTAGAGAAGTGTACGGTGAGCATTGATGATCTCTTTTATTGTGAACAACACTAATACCTGTTTTTTTTCTTCTCTCCTCCCTCTTCATGTCCTATTTTTTCCCTTTTCTTGTCCTATTTCTTCCTCCCTCCTCCTGGCCTCCATATTCTTCCCCTCTCCACAGAGAAGTGTGATGAAGCTCTGGCCTCTCCTCTTCCTCACACAGCCTTCACCAGCTCGTCCGTCTTCTCCAACGGATACGCACCTGGATATGCTAAGCTCAACAGGAGAGGAGGTGGGCAAACACACACAGAAGTACACCTGAAAAGCATGCTCATGTGCACACACATGCATGATAGTTTTACATAGATGGGTGTACATACACACATCCTGTAGAGGGAAGGGTAAATACATAATTCAGGTGTGTGTACATAAATCCTTATGAATGTTTTTTGCAGATTACACACTGAGGTAATCCTCAGAGAGACGCACACACACAGCTTCTCTCCTCCTCCTCCTCCTCCTTTCTTTCTTTCTTCTCTTTCTCTTTCCTTTTCCCTCTTCTGTACATTCCCCTTTTCCCTCTTTCTTTCTCTCCCTCCCTCCCTCAGCTCCACTCATTATCTCAGCAACTCAGACTGGAGCTCATCTCCACATCAGTCCTCAGCAGCGAGAGAGATAGGGCCAGACAATTACACCCCTCTGTGTTTATACAATTAATAATTCATACTTTCCCATCTAATATAGTCACACTACAGCTGAGGCAAGGCTGCTCAGAGCTGGCAAATAAAGGCAAGGTAATCTACTGTACTTAATCATACCAATATAATTATTACTGAGAGAGGGAGGACAGGACTGTTCATCCTTTAACGAAGACACACAAACAAGATACAAATGAAACACAAACTATATATATATATATATAGCTTGTTTTCTTTTATCCAGTCTCTTGAAGGATGGAGGTCTGTGGGGAACTTAAAGCTTAGAACTCTTCTTTATTCAGAGGAAGAAGATAAGATTCAGTAATAAACAGACACACTTTAAAATGTAATAAACGTGTCTAAATAAGCTTAAATGAAGTCAGCCTTTAACAACTCGTAGGGGATGCTGTTCTGGAAAAGGAACGGCAATCGAGCAACTGTTTTCAAAATACTTTGGCTTAGAGATGTGAAATCTTGTGACCCTGAGGCAGATTTAATCATTTTGAAGTATGAATGATTATATCTATACCCAGATTAGATGCCTAGGTGTCCTGTGTTCAGATGATGAGGTCAGCATTTTATTAGCATATGATATGACAAGGGTAGAGTCTAAAAATAGAGGAGCAAATTAACTCTGGGATGGTCAGCATGAATTCATTACATAGAAATATGTCTTCAAGGTTTCAACAAACCAAAGTTTTTAAGAACATAATCATTGCTTTCTGCTGCAAAAGAAGATGCCGCCTATAATTAAAATCCACATGGCTATTTTCTTGTTGTCTCTAACAAAGAGTATGAAACATTCACACAAACATCAAAGTGCTCAAACAACAAACTCATCACATCTAAATAAACACGTAAAAAAAAAAAACATAAATAAGTGAACACACTTTAATTGAGAGTGAAACATTTGCAGAATCTCAACACATTGAATGAAAAGGGAACAGCCTAACTGAGCATGCGACGTGACACATGCACACAATAACACTCTTAAGCATGACAAACACAAGTCCTCACACTAAACAGGCGTACTTTCACAGGCACATGAGCAAACACTTGCTTTGATAAAAACAGGTTAATCACTGCATCATGAAAAATGAACATCGGCTGTAACATGGAAGTGCACACACTCGACAAACATGCACTTTAATTCCATTAATTTACACTCCCCGCAATATGACATGTGACATTTGGCAGCCAAATGTGCTGTCAGTGGCATGAGTGTGCGTTGATAAGCCAATCTACTCCAATCTCCCTGAGCTGTGGAGCAGGGGAAGCACAAAATCAATGGGACACACCACTCATAATGTTTTATGAATGCTGAGAGCTACTAGAGTTTTAGGCTATAGGCTATGTTGGTGTCAGGGTGTGTGTTTCTGAATGTATATATAATCCCTGTGTGTGTGTGTGTGTGTGTGTGTGTGTGTGTGTGTGTGTGTGTGTGTGTGTGTGTGTGTGTGTGTGTGTGTGTGTGTGTGTGTGTGTGTGTGTGTGTGTGTGTGTGTGGGCCCCCAAAAATGTATTTGTTGTGAATACTTGCTGGGGCCAATACGTTCACCTTTTCCTTCATGAAGTGCGAGGTTACTTAAGAAATTGTGAAAAACAAAAATTCCCCATGTTTTTTTCCTCATTGGCCACATTCATTTCAGTACCTGAAAACCTTATCATGTGCCGGACAAGGCTTGAAATGCTCTGTTTAAACTTTTAACAAGCGATGAGCTCCAGATGGGGTTTCAGCTGTCACATAGAAAGAACCTGAGCTGTGATCTGCAGCTCACACAGGCCTGTGCTCTGTCAGCTCCAAACACATGCCGTGTGGGTACAGGTTAAAAAAGAAGAGGTATGGTGAGGATGAAGGCAAATGAGGTAGTGGTGGGGGTAAGTGAGGAGTGGAGGGCATGGAGTTTGAACAGACTGAAAGTCAAAAAAAGGACAATTAGGCTGAGACATGATCGAGTGTTAAGCCCGAATATCTACAAAACTCTAATTCTTTTTCAAAGTCTACTCTGTGATGTGAAAGCGTATTTGGTTAGAAAGAAGAAAAATCAATTAGATTTCCATTATGGATTCCTTTTTCTACCTTTGTCAACCAGGAAAGCTCACTTTATAATTAAGTGTTTGGATGTAGCTGTCATTCTAAGAAAGTTTTTCTGAAATTATTTGTGTGTAGCCAAGCTCACTGAAGGATACCGTCTGTTTTGGAAGAAAGCGAGAGACGAATGGGTGAACTGAATGTGTGCATTATTATCCCTGCAGGCATGTGTGCACGCGAGCATGCACGTGTGCCCGTGTTGCTGCAGATGTGGCCAAGCATGAGATTGGGTCCCTATTCACAAATATGTGGCCACTGATCTTCATTTTCCATTTTCCTTTCTCTTAATCCCTCTTTTTTTTTCTTCCTCCTCATGCCTTCCATTGCATCTTTGTCTCCACCTTTCTCCCTCACCATCTTCTATTTTTCTCTCCACTCTCTATTTTCCGCACGACATTCTCAATCCCACACTCCATTTTCTCCTTTTCCCCTTCTTCTTTCTTCCCAGACCTCATTATCCATCTCTCAGTCTCACCCTGATGCATACTTTTAAAGTTCTAAAATAAAAAAAAGTTTCACTGTAACCCTCCCTTTTCAAACACAGGACGTCACAGAACTGCATTAAAACTCTTTTTTGACTTCCTGCATAATTAGACACATCCCTCCTCTCTTTTCATGCAGTTCTCTCACTCTGTGTCATCTTGTGAAAAGTTGTTTGATGTCTGTAGCTGTTCCAGTCATCCATCGATAACGGCGGTCCGCTCCTAATTAAATTACTCCGTCTCCATCCGCTCCCTTTGCTCCATGACAGTAAGATGAAGCACTAGCAGAGGGCTAACCAGCTGTCTCCTCTCTCCCCCGGCCCCCTCGTATCTTAGTTTAATGAAGATGTTATATTTTCTCCAAATGTGGTTTTTGCATGAGAAGCGGCCATTTTCAAAAACACACTTTCAGATGTTCTCTCGGGTGCATAAAGGAGTGTGTTGCAACCCTCATGTGTGGAGAGAAATTTTGCTATTTGACACACACACACACACACACACACACACACACACACACACACACACACACACACACACACACACACACACACACACACACACACACACACACTCCCTCTCTGACAATAAGACAGAGGAGAGATGTTCGTCTTGTTTGATGCTCTGCTTTGATGCTGTCACTGTTTGTGTGTTACACCTGTCACCAGCTTCTCACCACTCGCCCAAAGATCAGACTACACTCACTTACTCACTCTCAGAACTCTGGTATTCCCTTTTGTGTTTTACAATTTCCTCTTTTTTTTTTTTCCTCTTTCATACATTTTTCAGTCACTCCATTATGTCTTCCTTTTCTCTATCTTACAAAAGTTTTTGCTTTCTCCACTCTTTCTTCTCCTCTTGCCTGACTCATTATCAGTACTGTAAAAGCAATTTACCAAGGCCGGCGGTTGAATTAGACCATATATTTCCCATTCCCCCTGCTGGGTTGCAACAGATAAAACCACTTTTCATCATCGCCAACTGATGTTTACTCCCCACTCTCTCACACTCTAAAACGTTCTCTAAATTCTACATACATTCTGCGCTGTGTGTATGTTTCCACACTCACTCCCCAGGAGCATGTGGATAACCCTGATTGTCTGTGTTTCTGAAAAAACAACAACAGAGCTTTGGTTGAACTTCACAGCCCAGTAAGAGACAAGCAGAGCAGAGAAAAAACAGAGTTGAGACTTGTTGAAGCGGTGAAATTCTTTTGTATTCAAGTTCAAAGTGACCAAAGGGAGCTTTGCTTGTGGCCCGGTCAAATGACTCATAGCTGTGGCTTTCTTGCACAGTGTGACTTAGGATTTGAAACAAAAAAATATCCGACAGATTGCAGCAGTTCACAGTTTGAAATGACACCTGTTTTCGGCATGGGTTCCCAGAGGCTCTTCCGGGTTTGATTTTCTCTCCACAAAGTTCCCTCTGTCTTAGTCTGCAATGTGCTGCTGGTCCATCTTTCCATGAACTACACACAATGGATTTATTTTTGTGACTTTTCCTGTGTTTCCTTGCAATTGTTTCTTTTAATGGCAAAAAAGCTTTCTGTTGTCAATGTGTTTGCAGAGAAGTTACAGTAAATACTCCTAGGGGTAGGTGAATACTCTAGTCCTATTTAGTGATGTCACGTTTCATTACATTTATAGAGTTATCATACAGCTGCAGTTCCAATGTTCAGTGTTTTCAGTTACTTGATGTTGTGTAATCGACAGAATGGTGTACGGCAGGGCATATGTTTGTGGTTATTGTACATACATAAGTAATGTGCTGTGCCATCCATGTAACATTAAACTTCTGTATCATACATTAGATTGATTAGATGATTTTCTAATATAATAACGGTGTTCATTTCAACTTAAATAAAAAGAAAATAAAAGAAATAAAGAAATACATAACAAGTATTTAAAGATCAAGTCATTTAATAATCCCAGCAGTGTTAGCATGTGTTGTTATGATGCCGTCAGGAGAGAGAAGATCAGCCAGCTCATTATCAAAATGGTAACTTTTGTAGATGTTGTTTGTT